TCAGTAAAGATGAAGGATCAGGAGGGGCAAGCCCTTCTGTTGCCCCTTATGTCGCTCTTTCACTGTCGCCTTCTGGCCTGCTGGCTGCTTCTGCAGTGGCCGGCATCTAAGGAGGACTTCCTCCATCCTGACTTTGATCCTGAGCCGTGTGTTCCTGAATGAGTTCCAGAATCCAGCTCCTGTACCCAGTTGCTGTCTGTGGCTGAGTCCAGCCTGGGACCTCCCTTCCCCAGGGGCTGCTCCCCAGCCGGGGGTGACGGTGATGTATTGCCATCGGGGGGAGTTGGGCTTGGTACTGACCTTGTATATATCTGTACATATTCTATTTTATTATCATTATTACTATTATCATTAGTGGTAGTATTAAAGCTCTTTTTCTTCTTTTCTTTTTCTTTTCTTTTTCTTCTCTTCTCTTTTCTTTTTCTTTTCTTTTCTTTTCTTTTCTTTTCTTTTCTTTTCTTTTCTTTTCTTTTCTTTTCTTTTCTTTTCTTTTCTTTTCTTTTCTTTTCTTTTCTTTTCTTTTCTTTTCTTTTCTTTTCTTTTCTTTTCTTTTCTTTTCTTTTCTTTTCTTTTCTTTTCTTTTCTTTTCTTTTCTTTTCTTTTCTTTTCTTTTCTTTTCTTTTCTTTTCTTTTCCTCCAGGTCCCACAATATACTGGTTATGTAATAACGGTGGTACACCTTGGGGCAGGTTTGGGGGAGCTTTGCCTGTAGAATCAAAATACAGACACTTTAACAAGCCTTTAGAAAAGAAAAAAAAAGCATTGAGACAAGATAGCTCACAAGCCCTAGAGGCTGCACTGTCATAGCTTGTCAAGAGCAGAACTCCACAGAGGAATTTACTGCTGGTTGATGAAAATGCTCAAAATAGACCGAAGAGTTTAACCCTGCCTCAAGGAAGGGAAAGCACAGGATACTTAAGACTGAAAAGAGCCCCATCATAGAACAGTCTGATTTTGTAATTTACTTTGTCCAAGAGGATTACAAGAATTACAGGAACTTCTCCTCTCCTCAGTCCGCTCCTGAAGGCAAAATTCAGGCATTGTTCTCAATCTAAGAAAGCAAATTCTCCCTTCATTTTCTGCTCTGTCAACACATTCCCCCTTATCAGCAATAGACTGGATATCATGACATACTGTCAGCATACTTTTAATGGGTGACTTACTGAAGCTGGGAATAGCAAAGAGAAGATTGAAACTGTTTCAGTTGCCTTCATGAAGCAGTGCTAGAAAGCAGAAGAGTAAAACCAATGCACTTTGGCCAGTCATCAGACACTTCATTTACAAGGCATTGGAAAGAGAAGTAAGAAATCCTTCTGTAAGTTTGATCTTAATATTTAAATCATTCACTTCCCTCCATAGGATTTCCTTTTAGCAGTTCAGATTGATTAGAGAAGCAAGAGAGAATTTAACATTGCTTCCACTTCAGTGCAAGAAGCCTCCTCACCTTCTCTGTGAATCCTTTTTCTAAAATGCTATTTGCTGTGGAATTACCCAGATATCAGACACTTTTTTCCTTTCTGTAGACATGGCAGTAGGGATGTGGCATATGATAATGAGGACACTGCAGTATATTTTTATAGTATATAGTATATTTAATATATACTGCCAAATTAATTCAAGTCACAGAGAAGGCTGAAATTAAAGCTAATGTGAACTCAACAACCAAGAGCTGATCACAACCTGGAATACAACCTAGGTGAATCTCCTAGCCCAAAACTTCCGAAGTCAGAACTGGTCTGGTGTATATTTATAAAGCTCTTTGGGGATGGAATATGCTATATAAATGCCACATAACACCCTAACAAATATTTCAAATAAACAAAATCAGGTAACTTTATTTTATAAACCAGCAAATAAAGCATGCTGAAAATGTCAGCCAAGAGTGTGGATTTCTTAACGTAGTTATGGCTGGTGAGATGCTCAACTGACAGCCCTGCTGACTGAAGTCCTCTGTCTATCCATGTGATCTGTTACTATTGCAAACCTGAAGACACTAAAGGAGCTGCCCGTGTGGTAGCAGCTGGTATAGACACACTGGTAACACTCAGGCCAAAGCTGTTTGTAGTGTTCGTACTGCTTGCCATGCTGACAACCGAAGAGGTGGTGCTAGTGGCTGAGGTTGAAGCAGTTGAAAAGGTTGTTGAGGGCTGGAGCGAAGTTGTGTTCTCAACACTAGTGTGCTAGAAAGGACACAAAGAGAATGAGGATCACAGAGCAAATAAACCACAGTGGATGATGCTGGGAAAAAAAAAAAACAAAACAACTAAACCCAACAATCTTTTAAGTAACAGCAGCACATGCAAAAGAAAAAGTTATGTATTATCTGTGTACCAAGCAAGCAACTAAGTTGCATGCTTGTGATTTTTAATTATTCAAATTATTACATGAGAGTTAATTTCAAACTGCTATATCATCACAAAATTATACTACAGTAACTCAAACATCACTCCAGCACATTATTTCTTGCCCTTTGCTTGTATACTCCTTTAGGCTAGTGCTTGTTATGTTAAACTCCTATATTCTTCCAAAAGACAGTATTTGTTTTCAAAATACAGGACACTGCTATTGTGATTTTCCCAATGCACTTGTGGAATTTAAAAGATTAAAACTGCAGTGCCCCACAACAGAGTAAACTGAAATGCAGACCAGATGTATTACAGGATCATGTGAGAATAAAGGAGTTCCTGGTTTGAATCCAACACAATACAGTGCCTTAGCTGTAAGCTGATCACACTTGCAAAACAGTGTTATCAGCACACAGAAGCCAAAACAGCTATGACAACAGAAAAGAAGGACATTTGGATAAGTGTGAATTTTTAGGTTACATATTCAGTAGGAGTGTAGCATTACAAAACAAAATACAAGCATAAAGAAAAGCAGTAACCTAAGTATCCCATCACAGAACAAGGCAGTGTGTGTCTCTGACTTACTTTTGTACAACGCCATAAAGAGCACTGTATTCAATACCATTTGCCTTGTTATCTCAAGTGCATTAAATACACAGGTGACAACAATGCTAAATGATAAACTCTCAAATTGTCTGTCATGAGGCATTTGTCATGACATGCATCATTCCATCACTTGCATTTTGCCAACTAACCTCTCCAGCAGAGATTGCTAAAAGTCGACATTTTGGAGAAGTTTCTACCACTTCTAAAGTATGGGGTTTGTTTGTTTGTTTGTTCCCCTCCATACATTTGTTACAAGAAATTCTTTATTTCATCCTCGCTTGCTGGCACAAAAATTTCCTCTGCAGTTGTGTGACTGGCAAGTCTCTGGTAATAGCTACTCCTGGTCTAGTACAAATCATGTGTCAATGACTTTTTACTAAACGGTTGGCAGTCCTTCTTCCCTGAGATAAAGCTCTTGTTTTGGATCTTGTCGTACTGAGACACAATGAACTTTAAGACAGTGTCTTAATAATCAGAAAAAATGACTATATGCCAAACAATGGTTGAAATGCAAACAGGACTTACTGCATATGATGTACTTGAAGACAACACTGAGGCAGGGGAGAGGCTGCTCTGATGATTGGAAAGGGAGCTTGAAAGAAATCGCAAATCAGTAAATAAAATATTCCTAGAATATTTAAAATATATATATGTATGCATATGTACACACATATATATGCAGGGTAGGCATTAAGAATCACAGAGTCACAGAATGCTAGGGGTTGGAAGGTGGCAGAGAATATACGTGTGTTTCAACAGGTGATAGCGTGGTATGAGTTCTGAGCAAATGGACAAAGGCAGATTTATCAGCTCCTGATTTTCACAGTCATTCTGATATGCAGGGGAATGGAAACTGCGGCATTCCACCGGATTGATCCAAGACGTAATGTATGAGTAACATGGGCAAACATGACAGGCAATGAGGCATATTTTTTTTTTTTGTCAATGACGATGCCTGATGATCCATTTAGAACTTGTTTGATCGGTACACAAGGATTTTTTTTTTTGTCAATGGCGACGCCCGATGATCCATTTAGATCGGTACACCGTATCTAAACCCCAAGGATTTTGCAAACTTTACAACAGCAAGTCTCTCAAAAGGGTTTGGTAATGCTAGTCATGCCGTTGGTGAAATTATAAATAGATTAAATAGGACTTTACCATGGGATACACGGGAAATAGATCTAGCAGGATCCAGTTGGGGTAATAACTTATCTTCCACTGTAATGGTTCAAGGGGAACGGAGACGATAGACAGTAAATATCCTATATGGATAAATAATACGGCTAAGGCTTTACCACCTGGTATGTTCTTAATTTGTGGAGGTCACGCGTGGCAGGGAATACAATGCAATAGTGTTGCTTGTTACCTTGTTACCTTGGAGAGCTCACTATGTTCACACCAAATGCTAGGGAGTTAATAAACCCATCGTCACAGCGTCGAGGTAAGCAATGAATTCATCAATTGAATCCAGGATGTGATGGTAATATCACCCTGTTAAACAAGGCCTCAAGAGTGTTGCTTAGTCTTTTTGTACCCCATACAGGAACTGCTAAAGCATTAAAGGAATCGCATAATTTAGCTTGTTGGACATCTAAGCAGTTGAACTTAACATCGGCTATTTTATCAGAGCTGTTAGCGGATCAGGATAGCTTGCACCATGAAATTTTGCAAAATAGAGCAACTATTGTTTCTTATTGCTTGCGCACGGGCGTGAGGAGGGTGAAGGAATGTGTTGTATGAGCATTTCTGGCCACTCAGAATCTATACATAAGCAATTAACACAGCTAAAGCAAAATATAAATGCTATTAAAGTATCTAACAATCCATTAGATGATCTGTTTGAGGGATGGAGGATTAGAGGATGGTTGAAGACATTGTGTGTTGAAGGCTTAAGGATTTAAATTATAATAATATGCTTAATAATTGTAATCAGTTGTATCTTAAAGTATGACATGTCAGTCATAAATAGAAGCATTGATAGGGTACTGATTGTCCAGAGAAAAGAAAAGGGAATTGTGGAATCGTGGCTTTCAGGGCGTGGTGGACATGGTTTGCTTAGCATGGACAATCAGTACAGGCTTTAGGTTTAGGCCTCAGAACGTCCGTGAAGCGGCCTTGAACCAGGAGAAAGGAGAAACATCAGGCGATAGGAACCACCATTGGCAGTTCGCCCAGACAAGAAAGGTAAACTTGGCAAGACTGAATTCATCAATCTGAAGAGTTATATAAAGGCCGGCAGGGCGCATGGTCAATGTGTGGACAATAACTATTAACCAATCTGTAGCTCAGCTTAGGCGCGTGAACAGGCTTGTTAACCTATGGGGTTTGGGGGGCTGTGTCTTGTCTACTAGAAAAGGCTGTATTACTTTGCAATAAACGGATTTGACTGTAAACCCCTATGGAGTATGCGTCTTTTCTCCGGACCTCGACCCGACACCCTTATACCATGCCCTGTTTTCTAAAAGTAAAAATGTCATCTAGGAAAACAGCACAAACATTAAAAAAATGAAAGAGAGAGAGAGAGTTACCACCTGATGACTGGAAAGTTTCTTTAAACTATGTTATGGGACACCTCAGATCAGTAATCTCCAAAGTGGGGTGTGCAAGACAATCATTTTAGGTGCATGAACAAAATGTTTTTAGTAGTATTAATAAATATTTTTTCTTAAAATTATAAAGAGTGTTTGTTTCACCTTTCATCCTGTTTCAATTTTTTTTTGTTTATATCATACATATTACTACAGTAGTATAGGTATATAATTTATAAATAAATAAAAATATATTGGGAGTGCTCACAGATATTTTACTGATGGGATGTGTGATCAAAAAAGATGGAGACCACTGCCTTAGATCATTCTTCTAGAGTTTACAGGAAGGTAAGACAGTTCTCATCCTAGAAAGCTCACACTTTGAGATGACAGGACATGCCAGCAAAACCAAAGCAGCATTTTGTCTTCAGTTTGAGAGAAAGAGAAAAGTTTGCCCTTACCTCTCTGGCTGAATTTCACATGTGGGGCTGGTACTCTACTAAACAGTTTTCCTCCTAATTCTCATTGTTTACTCCTCACCACCTCCAATCCATCAAGAGTTAATGCTTTAACCACTAACATAGCCATTTCTACACAGTCTTCAACACTGGAAAATCATTCTCCTTCTTCATACGTGCCTCTGCAAATTCCCTAGCACCTCAAACACTTTCTCAGAGTTGGCAGTACCTTCCACCTTGCTGCAGTTCTGTGCATCACCTCCCTGTATCCTACACCAAATCCTCCATCACTGAACATGAAGTAATCCAGCAAAGATTTAGTATTGCAGGTGCTTTCTGTAACTGGAAACAGTGCCATATTTCATCATTCTTTTCTTCCCAGGTAATTCCACTTCATCAACTCCAGCAGGAAACTTAACAAAACACAACCAAATCCCTATTACAAGTCTTTGCAGGTTCCTCAAAAGCAGTGCTCCCATCTCCTCATGAGGAAAATGACACAAAAAGCATATTTAGAGAAGAGATCTGAACAGAACTCAGCGGATATGAACTGGAACTGACATACTAGCATTTTCCCCTATATAAACCAGACAAAATATAACCAAATCCACATGAGAACAGAGTCTAAGGACTGCAATTGTTCCCACTACCCCTCAGGTGGGGGAAAATCACATCAACACTGCATATCCCTATCTCACACATTTGTGCATATACACATTCAAAAATACGAGTGCAAACCAGTTATCTTTGCCAATCAAACAAGACTACTCACAAAAGAGACAAAAAGGAAACCCTGAAATGCATCCCCAGCACAACTGCCCCCAAAGCCTCTGCCACCACAGTCTCATCCTCCATAGAACCATAAATGCACAGGAGCTGAGCTGCCCCCACACCCCAACAGCAGCCCTGGGAAATAACTGGCACCTCTTCCCTATAGTCACCTCCAGCTCACAGTTTGACAAGCACAAAAAAAGCCCTCAGGAGAAAGTAAATTGAAAGCAAACCTGAAAATAGAAATGGAAATTCTGTCTAGATGATGATGCTGATGAAAGGAAAGCTGTGGCACCACATAAAACCAGCCACCCAGCAGCACTCCAAGCATAGTGCCCACCTGCACCACCACCAATCACACCTCACCAGGCTCCTGCCCAGCACCACCCATGCAGCAACATCCCCTTCCCCTGGGACAGCCTCCAGTTCCTCCAGGCCATGGCTCCCAGCCTACCACAGCCCTGCCACAACCAGCACACATCATTTCCCTTCCCTGGCACCCTCTTCCACACCAACCACCCACAGCAAGCCACTGTCACCATGCTCCACATCCTCCAGCAACTCTTTGCCACCCTCAGCAGCCCTCACCACTGGGACATCCAGGCACACCGCCAGCTCCTCAACAACCTCCAGCACTACATCCACCACCTGAAGCAATACATGCCAGCCAATTGCATGCTCTTCAAAGACCAATAGCCCCACAACCTGTTGCTCAGCATCAACAAATACTTCAGGTACATCCAGGACTTCCTCTGCACCCACCACCACAGCCCCTGTACCTTGGGACCATATCCACCTCAAAGTTCACACCTGCTTTCAACGTGTGAAGTGGGAGGAAGGGTTAGGATTGCCTGGAAATTTATATATTTCTGTATTTTGTTTATTTACTTGTTGAAAATAAACTCTTTAAAAATAAGGGGGGGGGGGGAATGGACCATTTCTTCTTTCCCCCACATAATACTAAACAAAATGCCTTTCAAGCCAGCAGAGCAAGCAAAGTGCCTTTTTGCTGATTTAGGCAGAGATGAACAAAAACAGACTCAGATGAGAGCATAACAAGAACTGGCAGAAAAA